TCATTTCCAAATATCTTAAAATCACCCAATTTATGCTCTATGCTCAGTTATAATATTATATAGTGCTAAAATATGATAAGTCAGACTTGACACTTGTATGCACTACATAAATGTAATATTGAGTGGAATAACATGATAAATCATGAGACCGCTACTGCAAATATTGTACAATACAAATATTGAATATCTGCAGAAACCATTAACGTCAGTCCGCATGTCCAAATTATGAGCTAAATCGACAAAGACTTCCAATTTCTGTTAAATCTCCTTTATACAAATCTCCTACACCACGACCTCGCTACGCTACGCCTAAAAAAATCTGCCAGATCGTGACTCAAAGCGAGTAGTAAGAGGGATCATGGTAGGAACAAGGAGGGCGTGATAGGCGGTGTGAAACATTCACCGTACCCGCGTAGCAAGGTCGTGGAGGGGGGGGGGCGTAGTGAGAGTGGGGAGAATGTAGTGGCAGTGTAGGGCTTAATACTTCAATGAGCGTCGCTCGATCGGCAAAAAATAAAACGCGCCCATCACACTCCTGCTACAACCTCGCCCCGTGCTCTCTGCATTCAGAACGCTCCAATCAAGTTCTTACTACGCCCATGGTCTCATTGCACGTACCGCATCCTGGCCACACACACCCCCTGCTACCAATCATACGGCACTACCCACTCCTAAGCTTTTCGTAAAGACTCATTCACAAATAGTAAATACTTTCCTACGTGCTCACCACTCGCAAATCGGCCCTTCTCAAGTGTAAAGGCAACTACACCGCTCTCAGTACGCGCAAATTCAAAGAAAGCGAGAAACGTTCACGATTTTCACGTCCACGCTGCGCCCTGACCTTAGTGAGTAGGTTATGAGGTCATGGCTGGAACGTGATGATTGAGCCACACCAAGCGCAGTAGCCTATCCCCCACCCCGTATTCTACATTGGGCTTGGAGGAAGCATGGCAAGAGCATCGCAAGGTCGTACGGGGCATGGTTAACGTGTGGTGGGAACAGGGTGAAATTACTGCGACTATGCGCATACTTAGAGCGTAGTTTTCTTCACACTTGGGGTAGTTTTCTGCATTTCACCACGATTTCGCCATGCTCTACATAATATTTGCGCATTGTGAGGTCTTCGTTATGATTGATATGAATCATTTTACAAGAACCTTCCCTCATCAACTCGAACCGAAGACTACATCTCTAAATGTTTGTTATGAAGAGGACTGAACGTGTTGACAACCGTTAGTTGTTGTCAAAGAGGAATCAACAACCTATCCGTTATTAAATAAATGGTTTCAAGTTGTTGCTCAGGTTAAAGTTTATATTGTGAAAGTGATACATAAATTTCTTCCTCGATAAATAAAAGATATTGAATAATGAATTGTTTGATTTTTGTTTGAAGAGTGGGTTTTAGGTGGGGTTTTTTGCACATTGTGTGATGTTATTTGAGTAAGTGTATATGGAAAGGGCCCATAATATTTAAATGTGCTGATATGCCATAATTTGATTAGAATTCTACATGTCATGTTGTATTGAAATCAAGATAAGTCTTATAGTATCAGTTGAAATGTAGTGCCTAAAATTGATAAGTCACACATCCCATAATATGTCTGAAATTTAACACTACATTATAGTTCTATGATAGCCTTCAGAAAGAATCATGCAAATGACAAAAACCCTCAAAATTTCGTTAAAATATATGAATAAATGAAATTTCTGCTGTGAATCAAAAGCTTAATTGGCCATTTTCTCAAAATCAGACATTTTGACTTACCACAATTGTGTTCTAAATTGTGGTAAAATGTCTATTTCTGTCTTGTCCGCAGGTTTATCTTGCCTTTGTTTAGCAAACATCTGAACACTCATCCGAAGTAGTAGGTGTGTCGTTTGCTACAGACGTAATGAAGAGAAACCGTGAACTTATCTCATTCTTCGTGAAACCACTACGTCATATACAGCCACATGCATACTTGAAAATGAACAACAAGTTTCTCTACGTGATGGTTTATTACATTGCATTCCGTCCTCTTGGTGGTCCTACTCCAGGTTTTATAGCATTAAAGAACAATTCAGTATTACATCAATACCATCAGTGTGTGAAAATTCGCTACCCCAAGAATCCCAACAGAAACCCGACTGCTGAGAAAGCCATCGTCGAATTAGAAAATAAACTTCTTTGTCAGGAATCGAAAGGTGGTACAGTTACTCCCCTTTCCCGCAGGACTTAATTCGCGCATTCTCGATCGTGGATTGTCTGCAAGAGAACTATGGACTCATCGATACCAATACCCCAATCAACAAATTCCTGTCTTGGACGGGGGGTTGGATGGCTGAATGGTTAGCGTGCGCGCGCTGTATCATAAGGTCTGTCATTTAGTCGACTGGCGTGGTTTCGAATCCCCAGTTGTACGTGACTTGGAGTAGGATCGCCTGTCCAACCTCGTGGGTTTTCTCCGGGTCCTCCGGTTTCCTCCCACTACTAAAGACTCCTATGCGCAAGCGAATTATTGAAATAAAATTAAACCATATGTTAGTCCCGAAATGACCTAGTTGTGTCGAGTGGACGTTAAACCCCATCTCTCTCTCTCTCTCTCTCTCTCTCTCTCTTGGACCAAGACATCATCATGGCTCCTTAACCATGCCTTTAATGAAGTTTCCAAAAACCTAAACGCTAATAATAGAGACTTTTGGCAAGCGGAATCTTGTCCATCCGTATCACGTATCGTCACGTGATACGTTGCGTCAATGTAGTTTTTGCAAAATTTCGCCCTGCGTACGTATGAGGAGCTGAGCTGGGCTTAGTTCTATAGATCTACATCGGTACTAGTAAAGTGCCCGGCCTACAAATTCCAGAAGGGAGCATAGTCGCTCAACAGTCGCTGAGCTATTTAAAAAAATTTAAAAATTTAGTGTCGGATCTTATTAAAAATCTTCGACTTCAAAAACAATTGTTTTGTTTCACTAATGTATCATTTCAGAAAGTATATACCCTTTTTACAGATTGCACGGTCTCACCTCGCTAAATTTAGCACGTAGATCAACCAGCATGCAGACAGGTAGCAAAAACATGAAAATTCCGCGAAAAGCACATCAAAAATAATGATTTAATTCCAGTCTTTATCATTGTTAAAATCACATGAAATATACACCTCTGTGTTCTAGGATCCACATAGATTCATAAAAACGCTACGGCACAATATTTCAGTCTAAAACTAGCAAAAAATACGGTAAAAAAAGACGACGATGTAATACGGACCTTCTCCGTATGAAAGCTGTTCGATACGTGCTGTCGTATCTGTGTCCCAAGAAATACACACGCAATGATGACGTCACACGCAAAATCAATACAGATACGCGATAGGGACCAGAACTTTACGATTGCCAATAGTCTCTATTGAAAGCTTTCAATCCAGCACAGTTAAAAATGGGATAACAACTTCACCAAATGATCAGTTGATTCTGTCTGGTCCTCAACGAACTCTCAGACCACCAGCATACCTTAAAGACTGTGAGACATAATAGACGTTTTACACATTACTTTATTGTGATCATTTATTATGTTTCCATGTGTATTTCTTTAAATTAAAGGAAAAGGGAAGTCACGCCAGTACCGAGTAGTGTCGAATGGTACTGAATGTTTGTAATATTGACTCGCGTAATCCAGTGTGTCTTTCTCTCTTCAAATTTTTTCAATTACTATGCTAGATTATTAAACATTAATCTTTGACAAAATTGTTCTTCTGAGTGTTCGTCCAAAGTGTGGCATTATTGACTGAGAGAGAGAGAAGTAGGCTTTAACGTCCACTCGACACAAACTAGGTCATTTCGGGACTAACATATGGTTTAATTTTATTTCAATAATTCGCTTGCGCGTAGGGGTCTTTAGCGGTGGGAGGAAACCCACGAGATTGGACAGGCGACCTTACTCCTTGTCACGTACAACCGGGGAATCGAAACCACACCAGTTGACTCAATGACAGACTTTATGATACAGCGCGCATACGCTAACCATTCAGCCATTCACCCCCACCCGTACCCCCAATTATTGCCAGGCTCAGGAATCAATATAAAGCAGAGCAGGGTATTTTTTTCTGAAAGTTTACGTTCTTTTATTTGTCAGATCCAAGCTGAGTGTTATGTCTTATATGGGTTTATTAATAACTATAAAACAGCCATTCCTATTCTAATACCGGAAGTCTCCTCTTTATAATAATAATTATTATTCTCAACTACATGTACAGGCATAAGTATGGAATTTACAACACCGTGATGCATTACAATATATTATTAAATACCTTACAAAATAACATTTATTTTCAAAACATGTTTGGTACATATAAATGTTGATCTAATCATACAATATTTAATGCTACATGTCAACTAGCTAGGCTATATTTATATTCCTCTTTTCCTAAAGGTATTCAGTGCAAAACTTCCAACATTTTCTATACACTCTCCATTGTCATATTAAATTGAATGGAATCAGTTATATGAGGTTTAATAAATTATTCATCCAGTCGCCCAAGTCATCATACAAGCAAGTCGCTTACAACATCATACTGAGATTGCGTGCACTCGGCAAACCTCAGCAGATTTCAGTACCCTACATCTAGCCTAGGCTGTATGATATTGGAACTACTTTCAAGTTCCTGGATTACCAACGGTGTTGCCCATGACGACGCCTTTAAAGAATGTATTATCATACAAATATTTCAAAGTCTGAAGCTGTTTTTCTTTCAAGTTTATCCAATTTTCTTCAAACAAGGACAACTTTGCACTGAAATTCTACACACGCATCGAATGACGCAATTTTGATAACTTCTTTTTAAAAGCGGCAAGTTTTCCTAATAAGTAAACGGTGCCGCATCGCAATTGTATAGGCGTAGGTACATATCACGTACCGTCCTACAGCCGAGGCTAGATGTAGAGTAGCGGAATCTATCGAGGTTTGCCGAGTGAGATTGCATGATACTAACTAATTATAATTATAGGGAAGTTAACTGGGTCATTGAAGTCAGCAGAGAGCAGAAATGTCTTCATGCATTATATACTGGATATTAAGAGCTGTTGATTCTATATTCCTTCTGTTGTTTATTTTGTTTCTTACATGGTATTTATATCTATATACAAGAAACCCAAACCGTCGTCAACCTGAATCAGAATCAGAAAACCAGACAGTACATGCCGAGAGGGATAGTATCGATCCGAGTACCCCGAGATATGAAATTGGTCAGGTCATATACAGTAAGTACTTTAATTATTGAGGGCCTATACTTATAGATCAAGCTAATCACCCTGGACCTATACTTGTAGTACAGGGGTTCCAGGGGTTCCATACGCTGGAACCTATACTCATTGTATAGGTGCTCGTATGGTTGTGAATATATTATTGATATGATAAATACCCGATGTATAGTTGAAACAACGTTATACACTTTACAAAGGTTATACACTGGCACACTGCATGACAAGTTACTTTCAATGGGCCCCTAGGTAGATATCCGTGGACCACAATGGTATGTGCCTATTGTTAAATCCCGTCCTGTATGTAGTCTGGAAACACCACTTTGTATTCATTTTACTAAACAAAATATAGTAATATAATATCCTAAGAGCCAATTACGAAGATACACATTGGCACCAAGACATTGTACTTATGATCCAACAATTGAAAGAGGAGAAAAAAGAAACTGATCTTGAAATATCTTCGCTGAAACGTGGCTTTAAAGATTTTGACCAAAGAGTTATGACATTGGAAGCAGCTAGTAAACAGGTCCACAGTCTTGTGCCTGTTAAAAAAACAGGTAATACTAATCATGAGTTTGATAAACAGATCAGAATTGTTACACTTGTAACTTCAAGTTTGACTTTAGCCTGTGATACAATAGCTCAGATTATATGGGGCCTATAATGTTAATGTATATAAACGATTAGATAATATTTATTGACAGAATAGTCAGCCAACAAAATGATCAATAACACTTCTCTTACAACAATTATTGATCAAATACAAATCGTTCACGAGCTAAATATTGCTACAATAGCACTTTACATTCATATTTAAAAATCTACTAGTATATTTAATTCGTATCACATGCAATGATATCATTATTAGTTGTTTTATATACAATGAAATTTTTGATATTGGTAAATTAACTTCAGAAATCTCAAATAGATGTTAATTGAGGTCTTCGTAAGGTGTGAAGGGGGCTTTAAGGGCTCGTCATGGTTTTTATATGTTCATCGACCATTTTATCACACGGGGTCGTATACACAACGCCGTTTCTGTCTACGCGAGAGCGTCGAGAAAAGGGGGAATGCTCACTAGTCCGCGGGTTCATTAGTCCACCGATATCTATCATCAGGATAAGGGTTAGGGATCATTAGTCCATCGATATCTATTATTGGGGTTAGGTTTAAGAATTTGGGGGAGAGGTTAAGTCTCCACATAAGCACTGACCTAGGGTGATGAAAAATTAGTTCGTGATATTTCCTTGTTTTATTAAAATACATACAATACATTAGGTTTATATACAAAGGTAATTTAGCTGTTTTTTGGCGGACTAGTGCACCCGCGGACTAGTGTAACCCTCTCTAGAAAAAAAGCCACGCAAATCAAGTTTTAAATGAAATGAGTGTTTCTTTTTCCTTCCTAGGAAAACAGTGTGGAAAAAAAAAGTGTGGTGATGATTATAGAAGTATTGAGATGAATTTTATGTACTTACTTGTTAATATACCAAATCCCGAACCTCTATATGAATCGCTGTCTTTATGTGAGGTTTTTGATAGCAATCATGTGGAAAGAATAGAGAGATGTCTTGAAAATGGAACTCGACAAGATGCAACAGAAAAGATTCTCTTGATTTTGCTGGAATGTGGGGAACACGCTTACCAGCCCTTTTTAAACTGTTTAGCTAAAGTGGGATATAATCGAGTTATTGAAAGGCTTCAACAAACTGAAGGTAAGCTAATAATATTTTCATAGTGTTTTAACTGGATTTGTTTTGAGGCGTCATTGGTATAAGAGATGGTGCAAGCCGGATTTCCATACTTGGGGGTCCTACACCAGACTCGGCAGTGTGGCACCAAATTTATAGAAATGTGGGAAGGCCGTTGCGGGTAGGACGTCAAACCTCATTTCATGTCCTTTTTGGTCTTGAATATATTTATGAAATGAAATACCCAGTGTACATTTGAAACATTGTTACACGCTAGAACGCTTTATGACAAATTAGTTTCAGTGTCCCCAGGATGGCCAGAAACACTTGGACTTGGGCCAATGGTAAATCCGGTTCTGTCGGTCTGCAAACTAAAAGTGTTTTCGTTTCTTACTAATGTCAATGATTTAAGTCCTTTAATTTAGTATAAAATAATGTGATGGGTGAATCTCTAATAGAAATATCAGTCCACAATGGTTCAATTCCGTTCAGTATTTACAAAGATATGTCGATTAGAAATTTCATCGATCTATGCTGCTCGTTAGCAACACAAAACTTTGCACATTGTTTCTTATTGATGTATTTGATACATTAAAACAATAAAAAATTTATGTGGAGCTATATTTTAGTTAAAATAAGGCGAACAATTTTGAGTAAATTCTTAACTTAAGCCTGAGAATGTTTTGTGAACTTTGGGTCTGGACTTTGAACATGAAATAGGTTGATGTAGAATATTTTAATGGAGACAGAAACAAATGTATCAGATTGATTCAAACCAAACATTTCATTTGTTGACGAAATCCACCTTCTGCGTGTGTTTCAGAAGAGCCAAGCAATCAACAAAGCAGAGAACAAAGATTAATAGCAGAAAGGGAAGCACTAATGGAATGGGTGAACGAAAAGGAAGGAATATTTCGGGAAGAAATAAAAGGAAAGGAGGAAGACCTCCAGACGTCACAAAACGATAATGAACGCATTAATACGGAGCTAGATGAACTAAAAAATAAGATGACTGAAATGGAGAATGAAACACAGAGAAAGAAAGATGAAAGGGTACAAGCAATTAGTCGTCTAAGAACAAGGGAAAATAAACTTCTAAAGAACCAAAAAGAAGTAAGAGAAAACCAACAAAGAATCCATAACCAGATAAAGAATTTGGAGTCACGCGTGGAAGGTTTAAAAGAAGCTACAATCAGCAGAGATAATGAATTGCCTCAGCTAGAGTCTGATATTATAAATCTTGTCACGTTACTGCAAAAAACTGCGATGGCAGAAGACGGTAATTTTTTTTTAATTTTTTCTCTCAAACATTGACACCATAGGTTTTGTCAGGTTTTTTTTCTACAGCAGGCAATAAATGAGGAGGTGTTATAGTACCACTCTAACTATGGAATTTATGAAGTTCGGGTGGGGCGATTAAATAAGTTCCCCTTGTACACATTGTTGTGTACATAAAATAGCCCTTGGCAGTTGGAATTCATTAAAAGAGTAGGCCATAGACCCACTGTCCGGGGAAACATTTTCCTAACAGCACACTATATATATATATATATGGAGTATGCCTTCATTACCCTAGTCGGAGCAGAACAGTACGACGTTAAAAACCATTGCAGTTCATTTCTGATATACAATGCAATATTTGATACTGTTTAAATTAACGCCAGCAATCTTAAATTGATTTTAATTTGCTATATTCCTTGCATAATTAATATCAAGTGAAGTTTGTTTATATTGCATTACTTTATCTACCCAGAAAAGATCATTTCTTCTCAACAAGATGGAAGATGGAACCAAGAACGTGAAGGCATGATTCCACAATTCAACGATGAAAGGGGTAGAGAAAATGCGAAATCGGAACATCTAATGGAAAGCACGAAAAATCAAAAACGCTATGAACCTACGGATAAAATCCAAAAACTCCAAGACCACATTAAAGATATGGACCAACGAATAGTGAAGTTGGAGACATTAAGTAATTTAGGAAAACAGACCAAAGACTCTACGGCTATCAAAATACAAGGTAAGACAACTCAACAGACGTAAAAATATCAGAATTATTTGTTCGGTTGATGTTTATTTACGGAGTCTTTCGCGAATTTAATAGATGTACAATAAAAACAGACAAATTTAATTATTCGGTTTACAGGTTTAAACTTTTCTTATTGCATCAACATTTCATTGCACAATACTATGGAGCGGAATTTCCCCCATAATTCGAACTCCTAATCTAGTAATACGTATGCTAATATGCTTACTTCTATGCATGTAACTTCTTACTAACACGTGTTAAATTGGCTATTTACACATGTAAAAATGCTAATTGATATGACTATTTTTTAAATATTGCAGTTAGAATTTATTGTAATCTGTTTAGTTTTGTTAACATTTTGACATTTCACAATGATAAAACCGTCATAATTCTAAGCTCATTTTGGTAACAGATGGCGCTATTCACAATTTTATGGAGGCTGATTGGGGACATATAAAATCTCGCCTTTTTCATATTTTATGTGCAAAAGCAAACTATTCTAGATAATTTGTTTCTAAAAGATCAATAAAATATATCTAAGAACTCATTACGTCATGCATGAGAGTCAATAAATAAATATAAATAGGTAATGATTAGTTTAGCGTATCCTTTCCCCTCAAAATTATGAAATGTTTTACGCACACAAGTAAAGTATTTTTGATATTATTTTAGCTTTCTATCTGGTCAAGCTTCCAAATCATCGTGAGCCGCGGTGGCTCGGTGAGTAAGTCCCTCGTCTTTCCTGCGTTGTTTCCCCTTTTCAGTGGTGCAAGACAGGGTTCTTGACAAGGAATACTGTCTAGTGGTTTTAATGGCGTGGCAGTTGGAATTTGAAATAAGAGTAGGCCGTAGCGCCGTGTCTGTTCAAAATTACCTCACACTGCACACTTTCATGGCGTATTCCCGTCTCGATTACTGAACGACGGGACGTTAAACTCTTATTTCATTTAATTTAAAGATACATTATTGAAGATTAGATAAAGAACTGGCAGTTCTCACTATAATAGTTAGAAACTAGATAATAAAATGGGGATTTGCTGAAAATTTCAGTCGAATTCGTCCCCACTGAACCGACAATTTAGCGATTGAATTTTGGACCTAGCCTCGATCATCATTACTAAAGTCGAATTGATCCACGCTGAACCGATAATTTAGCGATTGAATTTGGGGCTTAGCCTCCTCGATCATCATTATTAAAGTCGGTACGATAAAAAAACAACATAGTCTCGATTATCCATTTTTTGATTTTATCACGAATGGGCGTTGAGTAGCAGATCGCATCCTAATCCAGTAAATATCGCAGGCTAGAGATGACATAGGGAGTTGATTATAGTCTGGATAAGTTAATTTATTTCTAATTAATAATTTAGATAACATTTCAGACCCAAAGAAAGACCTGCAATAGGCAGATTTAGCTCTTGCATAATGTATGTTTAATGTCCAAATCATCGGTTTTGTCTTATGAGGTAGGAGGTCTCTTTTGGGCATTGGGTGAACGCTTGTATTGATCTTACTAATCGCATTCCAAAGTTTGGTGTCATAACTAAAAGTCACTTAATATGCTGGCAAAGCATGTAAACATATGCCAATGTTTGTCCGATTTAGAGACACTTAAAATATGCGTTAAAGGCCGAAAGATCTTGGGTGCGCATATATCTGACATCAGACCATGGCATCTTTGGCTATTACTCCCATCTTTTGCGTAAAGAGTGTGCGTAGTTTTTTCACCCAATTTGAGATGAAACTTAAAATATGGGTTAACAATCGAAAGATCTTAGATTTGTTTGATTTCGGTGTGCATCGGACCTTCCGTTCAGGAGTGATCTCCCTTTGTCGAAAACATTGTAAATGCGATACAGGCTATATTTTTTAACATATTTTTTGGGGGAATTTGGTTATGCTTCTTTAGCCCAAAACCATATCGATATTCAGCGTTCTGCAACCTCCCTTTGCAGAAAACCGTGTAAACTCTATGAAAGCTGCAGTTTTTAAAATATATTTCTCATCTTCGTTGTCAAGAATTTGGGGCAATGGGGGGAAGAGCCCTATCGATTTTCACTGTTTTTTCGTCCATTTCTTGCTCAAATGTGGACGTAGCTCGCCTAAGGAATTCACAGCGTGGGGGTGGAGGTGGGGTGGAGCGGATTACGCTTTGCTGTAACTTTATATCTGAATTATCATTTCCTGTTTCACAATCCAATCTCAAATGAAATAAGATATTGTTTACAAACCAAAACGAACACAAAAAAAACCTTTTTTCTATTGTCGTATTTCTATATTATTACTTAAATATTATCAGAATAATTTACTTTTGTACCCAAAATATTTTATATATCTTTAGAGAAAAAAAATAGCCTATTACTTCTCTCAAAAATATCGAGAACGAATATTGCAAAACAAAAAGGCTAAGTCAATCAATATGGCCGTATTAGGGCATATGCACGACAAAGTAGCCTATTTATTCATCTGAAAATATCGAGAATAATTTGCTATTGTACGTAAAATATTTTAGTATTTTTTACAGAAAAATGTCGTCATGTCTGACGGGTTATGAAAAGGGAGAGATTTTACATGTCTCCAATGAGCCACCATATAAGTAAACAGCGCCATCTGTTAGCATGTTTACTATATGGTAGCCCATTTAGGCTATTTTTTTTCTCGAAAGAAAAATAAAGTATTTTACGTGCAAAAGTAAATTATTCTGATATTATTTAAGTAATCTGGAAAGTTTTTTTTGTGTTTGCTTTGGTTTATAAACAATATTTTATTTCACTTGGAATTTGATCGAGAAAAGGGAAATGATACTTCAGATGTAAACGTACATCTCCTAGGTCAACAAGATTTCGGAAAAAGGGAAAATTCCGGAACAGAAGGTCAGGGAAAGCAGATGGACGGGATAAACCGACGGGGCGCGTTCTCTCATTATCCCAATGATTTACATCGAACAAGAATTAAATCTGTTAATAGGGGGGTTACAGAAGGTTGTATATTGATGGAGTTTTCGGCTTAGGGGACATAATCTAATTCGATAAAAAAAATCAGTTAAATATTATAGACTGTATCGCGTTCACAATGTTTTCGGAAAAGGGGGGTAACTCTTGAGCGGAATGTCCGATGCTCACCAAATTCAAACCAATCCATAATTTTTAAGTATATTTTAAGTTTCATCTAAAATTTGACCAGGAACTACTTGCATACTTCTCTTCTTGTGTAAATGACAGGGGCCATAAACCATGAAGCTGCGGTCCAAACTAGATGCGCTTACCAGATCCGTCGACCTTCAATGCATATTTTAAGTGTCATCTAAAAATTGGCATATGTATGATGCTTTGTCACTACATGTATTTGCGTAAAGGGACGGTGCAATTTTAACGGGAAGTTACGGTTCGATTTCTTCCAAAATCGAATTCATCAGTGATTGTTGTATATTAAACATATAGCTAATCAAAATTATGATCTCTTCTGTGTGCACAAGCTATGTACGCGATTTTCGTTCAACCAGGGGTAAAAATTCAGGAAATTACGGTCCAATATGTGCCAAAATTGAACCTATTCGAGATGTCAGAAATAAACATACATTTTAAGTTTTAAAAGAAATTAAATAAACATTGTGACCTCTAGATGATCCACAAGCTATGTGTGCGAATTTCGTACGATCAGGAGCTATAATCCAAAATGTTATCGTGAGATAAGTGTCAAAATCGAACCAATCTGAGATCTTTGGGATATCAACATATAGTTTAAGTTTCATCAATGTCGGATAACAAATTGTGACCTGTAGACATAAGTACGGACAGCGCTAATGGAATAATACGTGCACATGAAAATATGGGTGGATGCAAAATCTTGAAAGCATAATATTTGTCTATACTACCCTATGTTGACTAATCAATTTTAAGATTATGTACCTTTGCAGTCCTGTCAAGTATCATAGGTATAAATTTATTGATTCCAAATTTATAGGCAGAGAAACATTAAAATATAAGAGGGAAGGGATGGTGACAATTACCCGGGAACCCCTTAACGGGAGCATAATATTGGACTTTGAGAGGGTGTAAACAATGTAGAACTATACCAAGTTTAAATTCGTTTAGTTATGACTCCAAACTATAGAATGAGATCAATAAGGGCGGTGAATCATTCGCCCAATCCCCAAAGAGTCCTCCTACCTCCTAACACAAAACCGGTGATTTGGAAATGAAATAAAGTTTAACGTCCTACTGTTGTGTACCGATTGTGCTAATGACGACGGGCATACGCCATGAAGTGTGCAATGTCAGAGGATTTTGTACGGAAAGGGGCGCTGACAGGTATAAAACACGAGCAACTTTCTTTTCCAACTCCGGAAGCGAACCCGGGACCTCCTGGTTACCGTGTCAGTGAGTTACACACCGAGACACCGCGGCTCCCGATGATTTGAAAGCCTGGCCCGATATAGATTACTTCAATGATATCAAAAATACTTTACTTTTATAATTTTGAGGGGAAGAGATAAGCTAAACTAAGCATTACCGATTTATATTTATTTATTCACTTCCATGCTTGGCGTGAGGAGTTCTTGCTATATATTATTCTTTTAGAAACCAAATAGGTCAAAACAATCGATAGTGCATTATTTGTGAAAATGCACCATAAAATAGCCTATTTACTTATGGAAAAAAAATATCTAGAATTTTATTATTTTTGGCAGAAAAATGTCTTCATGTCTGTCGGGTCGTTGAAAGAGCACGATTTTACATGTTTCATATGAGCCACCATACAATTGTAAAGAGCGCCGTCTGTTTCCAAAATGAGCTTTAGAATTTTGACGCCTTTACCGCTAAACATTTGTAAAATGTCAAAATGTTAACGAAGATAAACTGACTACAATAGATTAAGAGTAATAATGGAAATAGAACAAAATACAAATTCTAACTGCAATATTTAAAGATGGGTTCCCAGAAAAGTATTTATCGGGTGGTTATTTCCAATAAAAGTATGGTAATTTTGGTATATATGGAAAGTAGAGATATCCAATCTTACTAGGAAAATACTGTATTCCCCGAAAAACACTCGTAGAGCGTATACAGGACAAAAATGTAAGGGTTCCCCTAATCACAGGCGAACATTGAGCACTTGATGTACAAGTTGATAAACTTTATGAAGAGTTAGACGTACACCACTTTCTGAGGTAAAAATGACGGAAAAAGACGCGGGTAGTGGATAATCCGAGAATGTAATTAGGATTCGATATTTGTAATAAATAGTAAGCGATTAAAGACAACATCGTCTTATGTATGCAATGAATTCTCCTCTGACTCCCAGAGGTCACTTGACGTAAACATGACCTGGTTTGATCGAATTTTTATAGCAGGACATTCCTTCGCAATTACAATGTTTGAAATTAATTAGTTTGAATATGTTTTTAGTCCATATACCATTAAATCACCCAGTTTGTACGCAGGAACCCATAATAAGTCATATAAATTAAAAAATTTACATGTGTAAATAGCCAATTTAATATGTGTTAGTAAGAAGTTACATGCATAGAAGTAAGCATATTAGCATACGCATTACTAGGTTAGGACTTATACACGGTTCTACTTATAAATTATTAATTGATGAGAATATTTCAAATTCCTTTCACTGAAATAATCATTAATATAGGGCATTATATAAATATAATAATTCAACAAATAATACATATAAAATGCGGAATATGAACTAAACACATTTACATGTACAAAATAGAACAAAGCACACTACTATATTATTATACATATGTAATATTATAAACTGAAGTTAGGTAAATCGTTTAGTTGTTGTTATATAAGTATGAATTGAAAAAATATAGAAGTATTCTTTTGTTCGGGCAGATCCACGTCATCTCATAATAACACGGACAGGTCTGTGATTTTGAAATCAGTAGGTGAGAGAGAGAAATGGGTTTAACGTCCACTCAACACAAACTAGGTCATTTCGGGACTAACATATGGTTCAAGTTTATTTCAATAATTCGTTTGCGCGTAGTGCTCTTTAGCAGTGGGAGGTAGCCGAGGGGCCCGGAGAAAACCCACGAGGTTGGACAGGCAACCTACTTCTTGTGACGTACAACCGACAATCCCAACCACGCCAGTTGACTCAATGACAGACCTTATGATACAGTGCGCACGTGCTAACTATTCGGCCATCCCCATTCAGTCAGGGGATTTAATAGTGTAGTCCTATCAACTGAAAAGCGTTTGCTCTTACGGACAAATTAATCCGTTAGACTTAGGTCCTTAAGTCCCTAAAAACATAGGTCCACCTTGACATTGTCTGTATTTATTCTCGAATTTCTAGTTTTCTAGCTGGATATCGCCACAGCGCTCTGATTCACGGTCTTCCGGTTTTATTTAACCTCTATATAGTAAAAACACTCAAGATCCCCCGCCCTCTGGGGTTATTCTAACTGTATATAGCAACATCACCCCCCCCCCCCCCCCCGCCTTTGGGGTTATTCAAACAGTATATAGCAACGTCATGTTTGCTTCGTCATGTTTTTTTTTTATATCTTCATTACAACCATTGACCCAAAGTTTATGTTACATTACGGTATTGCAAATTCGACCCTGTCTTGAGGTCAAGAAAGAAGCTGCGCAAATCCGGTTTAATATGTTCGATTTTTTCCTTATCAGAGAAACGACATGGGAGAATGTTGGATAAAGACTATCGACAGATACAGGGGAATTTGATGTACTTAATTGAAAATATACAAGACCCTACATCTCTTTATCGTTCGCTGTTTTCATGTGGGGTTTTTGATATATATGATGTCGAAAAAATAAAGAGATGTCTTCAAAATGAAATCCCAGGAGATGCAACAGAAAAGCTTCTTTTCATTTTACTGGACAGCGGTAGAAATGCTTTCCAACCGTTTTTAGAGTGTTTAGATAAAGTGGGATATAATCAAGTTATTGAAAGGCTTCAACAAACTCAAGGTTAGCTAACAATATGATCATAGTGTTTTTAACTGGATTGGCTTTAAGCTGTCATTGGTAGAAGAGGTTATGCAAGCCTTTTGTGGTTCTTGTTGTGTTTTATATCAGCAGATGATGGGGTAGTTGGTCTGCATGGAGGATTTACATACTTGTTGTGTAGAACTATGGTCTTTGCGACCAAATTGTATCGTTAACTAATTATTAGGTTCACACGTACTCAAATTAATTGAGTGATGTGTTTGTATATAAAAACAGTGAAAATTTGGTAGAAGAAAAAACTGGTTTTGTCCTTTCCATTGTCAAAATATTCATCAAATACTATCTGTTTATGACATGTGGTTGGTAGACCAAATAAGGTAATATTCTCTTCCCTGTGTTCAGATTATGGGGATGTTTATTCCATATATGGGAATAAAATTAACGTCAATCTCAGTCTATGACGTAAAGAAATTAGGGGCTGATAAAAGGGGGTGTTGAACGAAATTCATTAGAGCTCAAACAGATTTCTAGAGCAGCCATCATCTATACTTTATTGAGAACAAAGCTAAGCAGTTTTAATAATAAAGTTGTATAAACGACTAAACCTGTAGTTATATTTATGATCACGAAGAAACACAACAAAGAAGTCCGGTTTATTGTCGTCGACCCTGTCCGTCCGTCCGTAGACAATTTGTTTGTGGACACTCTACATGTTACAATTCTTATCCGATTTTGACGAAACTTGAAATATAGGTGTATCTGCAAACGATCTCGGTTTCTGTCGATATTAGCGTGTATCGGATCGACACTTCGTGGATTATGGCCCCTGATTGTACGAAAAATCACGATTTTAGATTGTGGGCAGTCTAGAGGTCACAATTATTATCCGATTTACGAAAAACGTTTTAAGAGTCATTCCACGAGAAAACCATGCAGAAGGTGGGGGTCGGCAGATCAAGTTCATCTCTGGGGGATTTTATGGACTCCTCAAGACTACTTCACAGCCAGGAGGGCCGATCTCAAAATTTCACCGTTACTGTCACTGGTGTCGCTACCAATAGCGGTTACAGAAGGAAGAGGCAGCGTGACAGTTGCAATACCCATAGCTGCAGATGATGTAGTAGCAGTAGATTGATGATGGATGTAAGCAGGACTACCAGTAGCTGTCACCAGTTCCAACAGTAACCTGAAAGAACCAAACCATATAAAATAATTTACTAAACTTATTTTTTAATGTACTATTTGCAGGGGGCAACATTTGTAAAATTTTCTGAAACTGGTCCCAGTCAATCGATCATCCGGAGACTCGATACAAGAGATTTTTCAATTGCCCATATACGTTGGGGTTGATATTAAGAATATTTTCAATCTGATTAAAAAGCAGATCCTATTTCGTTTCGTTTTTATAGTTCAAAATTTCGTTTTACTTGTCTTTACTACACTAGGATCTGAAAGAGTTGTTATCATTGACGTGTTCTGAATTCTGTGAGGTATTAGCCAATGAAACGGTCTGTTACGGCGAGCTTTAGGCATGTTTTGCACGGAACTGTGGGTAAGCCCCTAGAAGCATTAATGCTGATTGGTTAATCAAATGCCTGACGTCATAGGCTCAACTGCCGCTCGTATGACCTCTGACGTGACCTATCGCAACAACCAGTCAGATCTTCATGTAGTGTAGGTCATCGAAAGTATAAAAAAAACGAAACGAAATATAGATCCGTATTTTAATCAGATTGGGATATCTTGAGAGGTGGCCCCTGATAGAAATGTCCTTCATGTACAAATTCAGTTTTAAAAGGCCCAGCAAGATCCATTTTGGGCTCCGAAAATGATCATATGATGAAGTTGAATTTTTGACCCTATGACATATTTTTTTATTTGAGGAACTACCCTGAGGCAGTGTGGGAACTTGGCTCTCTTGACAGCTCATTTCCTCACTATGGGCAGCATAATATTTCCGGCAAACATAAAATAGAAGAAAAAATTCTAAAATTAACAAGAATTTTGTAATGCTGCCAAAGTTAAAAAAAAGCAGAGAGCTGGCCTTTAGTAAAGGTATTACAGCTATATCAGACTCAATGCAGCTAGTTTGAGGACTTCTGAAGCCCATCGCTTAACTTAATCAACTGGAGTATCACCGCACAACTGTTCCTGCTAATTTGATTGTGGTCGAGCACACACACAGGGTTTCCATCGATATTTCAAAGACACAATTTCTTCCCTCTTTTTTTTCAATAGTATTTTATTTCACTTAGCCGTTCCAATAGGTATAAGTTGATTCCAAGTGACACAACGCGGTCTTTGCATGGCTTCTCCTTAGATGTGGCAGCATGCATCCGTTTGGAATATTCCATTTAATGCAGCTTCGTCAAGAAATCAGCTCCCATTCGGTTCTCACATCACTTATTGCTATGTGATGTGCTAAAAGGTGGGCCTTAATGTTCTTAGTACATTTTTTCAATCGTATGAAGTGATTCTCTTGGTCATATCTGGGATATATACCACATTTAATGGCCAAACATGAGGAAAAATCGCAGTTTTGCGCGCTTTCGAGCACGGCCATCTTGGATTGGATATCAAGCCTCATTAAAGAGACTAGTTTTGCTCGAGGGAGTTTCAAGCTGCTACCAGTGAGCGCGGGCGAATGATTTGGTGAAGAAACGGAGAGAGCTGGCTTACCCTGAATAAAAGTAGTTGGCCATTTCATTGAGAATGAGAGATTTACAATAGGGAAAATTCACCAACTTTGACTTATGACTTCGCTTTGATTGAAGAGAGGTGACAGAGATTTTATTTCTTATGGGAGTCCATAAAATCCCCCGGAGATGAACTCGATCTGCCGACCCCCCATCTTCCCGATTCTGCACGATTTTGCATGGTTTTCTCATGGAATGACTCTTAATATATCACCGATACACCATAATGACAGATGAGTTCAAATTTCGTGAAAATCGGAACAAAACTGCCAGACAAAATGGCCGCCCCTCATACACAAATAGTGTAAAAATATGGTATATCAAGGTTGTGGACCCTGGAGAGGTCACAATTTTGATCCGATTTTGATGAAACTTGCAATTAATGCATAACCCACAGATCTTGGCACTTTTCGATTTTCGCTTATATTGGAGCGTAACTTCCTGAATTATGGCCCTTGATTGTACGAAAAATTGCATTTTAAGATTGTGGTCCCTCTAGAGGTCACAATTTTTATCCGATTTAAAAACAAACGTTTGAATATGCCACCGTTACACCCTTATGACGTTCGAGTTAGAATTTCGTGAAAATAGAACCGAAACGCCCGACAAAATGGCCACTCCTTGTACGCACATTGTGTACAAGTATCTCTGTCCCTTTCGATATTCGCGCATTTCAGACCATAATTTCTTGGATTATGGCCCCTGATTGTACGAGAAATAATTGGGGGTTTTTTTTACTTGTTCTATATCCATCTCTTGCCAAATGTGGGCGTATCCTTCCTGGCAGCCGCTGGTTTCTACAGTAGTCAATAAATGGGGTTGTTTTATAGTACAATTGTAGCGGCTGGATGTTTGGAGTGTATGGCTCTCATTCAATAATTCTTGAAACCATTGAGAGATTACATATATGACTAGTTATCTCTGTTTCCGTTAATAATAAGGCCCCTTTGGAAAAGATTTGTTGCAGGCTCAATTTTGTATACTGCTCGATGTCAAGTGCTCGGTAATTCCTCAGAAGCAGATGTGCGTTGATACCCCAGCAATGAGTTAAAAAAACATATTTTTGTTTCATTTTATTTTCAAAGATCTGATAGAAAGCACCAACCTTGAACACCGTAAAAAATCTGGACGAAGATGAACATATTGAAACTTTGTGTAAGTTGAATATCACAAACAAACTATTTTGAAGCTTACTGCTGATTGTAAAGCAATGGATTATAAGTAAGATTTCAATGTATTGTCAAGGGGACAGATCTTGAGATGAAACCCGGCATTCCGCCCAAATTGCCTTTCCAGAACATATGTCAGGAACGTCATTCAAAATATATTTACGATACTTTGCATCACATCAGTCTACTAAGTCGTGTTTTCTTTGGTTAATTACACATGTCTGAATAAAAACATATCACCGGATATGACCCCTGGCAACGGTCTTGGGATCTTGCAGACACAAATAAACTTTATCAAATCAGGCCTCTGTTAGGTGCTGGGCAAGTGGCTACAAAACCAACAGAAGGGATGGGGTTGTTTGTACTCTTCAAAAGAGACAGACTTTTATTATCAATTTTATTTGTATATATGTAACCTGTTTTTTCATTTTAACTATTTATTCATAAAGGACTTATATTTATATGTATTTATTTTTAATTATATTTATTATCTGTGATACCTTTTCATATTTATGATACTTGTTTTTATTTTTTTTCTATGTAAGTATATTTATGTATAATATATCTCGTTAAAATCAAAGTATGGTAAGGCAAAATGTCGCATGACTGTAGTTCACGTGCCATAAAACTCCATTTCATTTCCTTGGTGAATATTTGTTGTTTGTTCATTAAATTGGTTTTCGTTGGGCTATTATCATGGCGTTGTGATTTTGGTTTTGAAGATGAATCTATTCAAGGTTGTTGTACTGACGAAAATCAAGATGCCATATCCAAGAAAAGGAAGTACTTCCTACATTAGACGATGCGTGCTTAAAGGGGGGTTTGAATAGTTTAAAGTATTTAATTGGCACTGGCCATGATATAAATGAGAGGTACGATGGGGGCATGACGCCAATATTATATAGCAGGAGAGCACAAATTTAACCCGTTTCTAAAATTAAAATGATACTAGATGACCTGGCGCCTGGTACGTTCGGGCATTTTTATGCGCGAACTCTTAGTTTTTTTTTTTACTGGCATGCGCACAGGTACTATTTCTTTTTCTTTTAACAAGTACCCAAATCGGGGATTTCGTGCGGAGGTAGTTCGGAGGTAAACAGTCTGTGAAGTACAACACTTGCCACTGTACCTGTGTATCGCTAATTATAAACCGAATGTGTGAAGACAGTTCATACATATCACTCAAAAAATTTTCAGTACAAACTCAGTTGATTCACGCTCGATTTGCTACTAAATAAACCCATCGGTTTATTTTCTCAACAGTGTGACCCGAAGTGACCGCGGATTTATTGACCTTGTATGAACTTATCCATAGCTATATCCTACCACCGAGAGAAATTATCTAGTCTCGGTGAAAAGAACCATGGTCATCTGGTAGAAAATTACTTTTGTATTTTTTGGAACGGAAAACAGTGTTTTTAGAAGCAAACTAACCTGCCGCACATGAGGAAGTCATTATACTAATAATAAAAGGCGAGACCTCTTTTTGCGGCGCAGGCTTATCACTGAGTAGTAAACCGTCCACAAACAATAATATAGGAAGCCTAGTGACGAGTGTAGTTTGTAGGCTATAGACTATAGGTTTTTGCGATAACCAATTATGTGAGAAATACCATACTGACATTCGGTTTTTAAAAGTTGTACGCGAACTAAATGCGTTTGTTAGATACTGACAGAGCAGCCCCGAGTCGAACAATCGCCGCCCGAGCTGTCTTCGTCAGCTAGTTTCACAATATCGTGCAATAGGTGTATTAATGTGATTTTTAGGTTTAA